CCGCGTCGTGCTAGTAGCCATCGTCGTTCCCCTCTTCCTCTTCGTCGGCGTCCTGCTCCTCATCTCCTCATTATCCTCCCCCTGTTGCTCCTCCACCTCCACCACCTCCTGTACCAGATGTTTTGGGACTCCTCTCAAATCTCTGGGAACCTTCAGGAATTCAAGCAAGGATCCCTCCAGAGCCCTCAGGAATCCTCAGGGTCCTCAAGGGTTACCAGGGGATAGCAGAATACCGCCAAATTCTTGAGAAACCCTTGGGATTCTTCAAGACGTTTCACGATATCTCAGCAATTATCAGGCTTCCTTCTTGGAACGGTCCTTCTGGATGTTCCTGGAACCCCGCAGCTTCTCTCTTCTAGAACCCTGAGAATTCTGCAAGATTCGCGAGAATACCTCCACAACCGCCCAGATTCGTTACGATTCCTCGAAGACCTGCAGGACATCTCCGGATTCCTGGAGAAAGCATCAGCAATTCTCCGGAGCCCTCGGGATTCCTCCTGATTTCTCGGGAACTTTCAGGAACCCTGAGGGATCCCCAGGATTCTCGTGAATGTCTGAAGAGTGATTTGCGAATTCTACTGAACACATACCAATTATTTGGATTCTTATGAATCTTCAAAATGCCTCATGATTCCTCAGGGTCCCTGAGGATGCACCAGGAACCCCAAGGATTCTTTAGGATTCCCATGGATTCTACCTAAACCCTGGAAGGATTCCCTCAGGAATGCGATGGGCAACTGAGAAGCCCTTCAGGAACCCAGGGGAACCCCAAAGGATTCCTAAGGAGTCCGAACGCACTCGAATGAGAAATGCTCCAGAATCCTAAGAGATCTGGACGAATCCTGGAGATTCCTGAGGGGGCTGAAGGATTTCCAAGGAATCCTGAGGAACCCTCAGAAACCCGAGGCAACCCGAAGGAATCCGCAGGAAGCCAATGGAATCCTAAAGAAGCTTCAGCCACCCAAACGAATCCCAAAACTACCCTGACGAATATCCAGGACGCCTACGGAATCCGAAGGAATGAGGCGCGCTTGATATCCATGTGGAATCCACGTTGGTGAGGGGCCCACCCCGCTGCTTCAGTCACTGCCAGATCCTCAGCGTGCAGGGCGCGGCTACAAAGGCCACGCCATCGAGAAATCGAGAGTCCTCGGCGGAAAAGTCTGCGGATGGTGGCGGAGGTTAAACAACGACAGCGGCGCCGAAAGACACAAGCAGGGGTGATTATTAATCCGCCCAGCGAGGTAAAACGCCAGGGCACCCCTGGTTGTCGGACTGTGCCCCATGGCAAGCCATGTGGTGCAGGCCATGTGAACGTAGCTACCTGGGGCAAGCTATGTGGTCGCTTAAAAAGACTTGGGAAACGGTCAAGACGCACTGGGGGTATCATTCAGACGCTAGCGAATATACCCAACGCAGCATAAACACAGACACACAACTGAGTCACAAGTAATACCAAACGAAAACAAATTGAAGACACCCCCCCTCAAGGCATACCCTAGGTGGTGTTCTCGAAAACTATTTGAGGGCTCTTAGGAGGCAGAGCACTTGCATGTCGTATTTCACCAGAGCAATTCATTACTTGGTTTCTTGTGGGGGCCTGTTCGGCAACTACTCTCCACTGCATATTTGCCCAGTCGACCAGGGAAACGACACATCCAACCTGGGAATGGATGACTGCTTCCCTCTCCTCCCCCCGGAATGGCGGTCATCCCGTAGGGGGCCTTCAGAGGCCCACATGGGTACGTAGTTTTCCCCCCAGGCTCGCACGACGGGAAACCACGGGCCTGTTTTTGGAGAGCGCGCCGGGCCACAAAACCGAACTGCCCTTGCCCAAATCTGAGAAGCGCACGGGGGCCCAGTCGACCCATCGAAAACACGAGCAAACGCCTTGGGACCCTCATGCTGATCACTAAGAGCTCCCAACAGCGCACCAGCCCACAAATGTTGTCAGCCTCATCCTCCTCCTCCTCCTCCTCCTCCTCCTCCTCCTCCTCCTCCTCCTCCTCCTCCTCCTCCTCCCCCCCAAAAAATAGCACCCGTCCTCTGCTTTAAGAACCAAGGTCATCATATCATCATCCGTCCTCATATTATGACTGATGTGCTTATCATGCATGCTGATCATCATCATCATCATCATCATCATCATCATCATCATCAGCAGCAGCATCAGCATCAGCATCAGCATCAGCATCAGCATCATCATCATCATCATCATCATCATCATCATCATCATCATCATCATCATCATCATCATCAGCAGCAGCAGCATCATCAGCATCAGCATCAGCATCAGCATCAGCAACAGCATCATAATCATCATCATCACGCTTATTCTCATCATCAACAGCAGCATCATCATCATCATCAGCATCATCATCATCATCATAATCAGCATCATCGTCATCACACTCATCATCATCATCATCATCATCATCATCATCATCATCATCATCATCATCATCATCATCATCATCATCATCATCATCATCATCATCATCATCATCATCATCATCATCATCATCATCATCATCATCGGCGCGGCACACTGCCTCTTCCTGCTGACATCGGGGCTCCCCATCCTGCCCCTCCTGCTGACCTCGGGCTGATGCCGCGCGCCTTCAGAGCCGCCTTCTCCTCCGGGTGAGTGGGGGGCAGCTTCGCCGTCGCCGTCGCGTCGTCTTCTCCGTCGTAACTCTAGGGAGGGGATGCAAATACGGAGCGCGCGTGCGACATGGCTCGTCCTCCCTGCCCTCGCTCGCACACTCTCCCACTTGTTGCGTCGGCGGCTAGGCAGAGTGACTGCGCTGGCGATGAAGCGTTGGAAGATACACGAACGCGAATTCGGCCACCATGCAGAGAGAGGAAGGAGGAGGCGCCCTGCGGCGGCGGGAGGGAGGACGAAGCCGGGCCCTCTCAGAGCGGGGCCAGGCGGCGGCGGGGGGCGGCGACGGGAGGGCGGGCCCAACGGCAGCGAGGCGGCGGCTGGGGGGGGGGGGCCAGCAAGGCGGGCTGCCAGCGGCAGAAACGCCCTGGGGGAAACAGTGCCCAGCGGAGCCTGGTGACGAAGACGAAAGCGAGAGTGCCACTGGGCCGAGGGTGCGCGACCTGCGAAGGCGACCCGGGGCGGCGGCCAGTGCAGGACCACCTCCAGTAGAGGGGTCGGCCTACCAGGCAAGGCGGGGGGTCGGAGTGGGGCGCGGGCGGCGAGGCCAGCGAGGCCCCAAGCCAGGCGGAGGCGGCAAGAGAGCCGAAAGGTCCTGCCGAAAGCAAGAACCAGTGGGGGGGGGGCACCGAACTGGTACACATCGGGTCAACGAGGAGCCCACGGCGAGGAGCTGGGCTGAGGGCTGAGCCGGGCGGCCCAGCCGGCAACCGAGACTGGCATGGCCAAGCTGGGGCACACCAAGAAGAAAGACGCTGGGCGTCCCCGAGCTGGGGGCGGCGGAGCGCAGGGCTCGGGGGGCGAGGCGCCGGCGTTCCCGAGCCAAAAAGTTTGCGTGGCCCGCGGCACCCGAGGTGGGTAGCAGCGGGCGCAACCGCCCGGTTGGGAGGGTGGTGCCTGCGATCGGGACAACCGAGGCTGAGGGGGCGGGGCGAGGACGGCAAGACCAGCCCAGGGCCCAGGGCCCAGTGCCCAGAGGGGCGGCCAGCGAGCCGGATGGCGGGCAGGCCGAAAGCAGGGGCAGCGAAAGCGAGCAGCCGCGACCAGGGGTGCACGCACAGGCGCCGCGCGTCCGATGTGGGGCCGCCGAACGCCGCCGACCGGACGGACTGTCGCACACTCTCACACACGCGTGGAAGCATACGGCAAGAGTGAAAGAGTAGGAGAGGACAAATAGGAGGAGGAGGTGGTGGTGGAGGTGGAGGAGGAGGACGACGATGAGAACGACGAAGCTGAGGACACAGAGGACTAGCGTAAGACAGCCCCGATGGAAAAAGACGCTCGCGCCACAGCCTGTCCCGAGGCGGAGAGGGTGGAGGATGGAAAGACAGGGGTGGAGGCGAAGCGAAGGCCAAAAAACTGGCCCACATGACCACTACGGATCCGCTGACGAGGAGCAACTCCGAGCGCCCTTGCGGTCGCGACTCATCGAACGACGCGAACACCCACACCTGCTCCAGCGGCGCGCGGCGGGACCCCACGGCGACGTCGTCGGCGGGCCGCTCGAACGCTAGGGCGAAGCACCGTGAGAACCCAGCACGTTCCGCGGCATCGCCGCGAGCCGCGGGTCCTAGACATTCGTGCCCAACGCCCGCAGCTCCCGCCCCCAAACCGAACCATGGGCAGCGCGGTCGCCGACCCCGTAACCGCTGCGCCGCGGTCGCCCGCGCCCGTGGCGGCCGTCCCACCTTGCCTCGAGGGCAAGGCATCAGCTTAGCTGCCAGACGCATCGCGCGCTCAGCCTGCTCTTCCAAGACGCGGACGCGGCGCCGCTGCCGTTATCGGCGCGGCAGGGGCAGATGGAGCAGGCGGTTCAGCGACACTTCCTGCCGGCGGACAGGACGCGAGGCCTGCGGCACAAGGCTTGAGACCAAAAGGGCACCACGATGAAGAGCGGAGGGCTTTTAAGTCCATTGAACGACATGGGTGGCACCGACAGCGGCCCCGAGGTACACGCGTTTGCAACTCTTCCCCCCGCCGGCGGCTTTTCCACCTGCAAGGGAGCCCGCGCAAGGAACAGCAAGGACAGCATCTACATCCGCCGACCTTGGACCAGATCGCAAACGCGATCCGCCAGAGGTGCATGCACCTGGAGCGATCCGCTGCATAGACGGCACTCCAAATCCCACCAGCCCTCTGGGCGTAGGTGGTCTAGAGCAGATCCTCTTCCACCCCTCCCTCTTCCCCCTTGGGGAGGGGTTTACCCCTCCCCCTACCCCCTCCCCTGGACCTGGACGGGGGGGGCCGCGGGTAGTTAGAGCGTCCCAGATGGCCCAAGACGGCTCCAAGAGCGCCTCAGAGAACCCAAGATGAGCTCCAAGATGGCTCAAGATAGCGCAAGATCGCTCGAGATGGCTCCTAAGATGGTTCCAAGAAGCCCAAAGACGGCCCCAAGATAACTCCAAGTGGCCAAACAGCTCCCCAAGGAGGCCCCGAAGAGGCCAAAATCGTCCCAAAACCTAAGGAAAATCAATGATTTTTGCTTTCTCGCCTTTTCGCTTCCGATGGCCATCCGAGGCCTGGAGATGGTTCCAAGATGGCCCAAGAGGGCCCCAAGAGAGCCCCAAAAGAGCCCCAAGACGGCCCCAAGAGCGCCCAAGAGCACTCCAAGAGCGTTCCAAGAGGGGTCCAAGAGGCGATTTTAGGGGCTTCCGAGGGGGGGCGCTAATTAAACCCCCCCTCTTGTTTGATCGATCTCCTCCAAGATGGCCCCAAGAAGCGCCCAGGAAGCCCCAAGAGGTCCCAAGATGGCCCCAAAATGGCCCCAAGAGGCCCCCAAGAGGCCCCCCGGAGGCCCCCAAGAGACCCCCAAGAGGCCCCAAGAGCCCCCCCAGATGCACCCAAGATGCTCCAAGAGGCCTCGGCGAGAATGCCTAATCATTGATTCTACACAGGTTTTAGCCACATGGAGGCCTCTTGGGGGGGGGCACGGATTAAGATGACTCCAAGAGCGTCTGGGAGAGCCCAAAATGACCTCCAAGATGGCTCAAGATATCCCAAGATGTCTCATAATGGCTTCCTCTGTGTGCTGCCCACTTCTCTGATCGAGGCAATTCCTCTGGGCATCGTTTCTGGATGGGCTGGTGGGGATTCGCGAAGCGACAACAATAGAGACGGGGAGGACGGAGGAGGGGCAGGAGAGAGAGAGGGGAGCGAAAGGAGGGAGGAGAGAGCAGGGAGGGGGGGAAGGAGGAGGAAGAAGGAGGTAGGAGAAAGGAGGGAGAAAGGGAAGGAGGGGCGAGGGACGAGGGGACGGAGGAAACGAAGGAATGATAGGTACTGTCTCTACCAGCAGCGAAGCACTAACGGAACCTCGGGCCTGTGCGGTAAGCGCGAGGGAGGGAGGAGGCGGCATCGGCGTCGGATGGCGATGACGATGATGTCGGGCTCAGGATGTGCTGCACCGCGCCAAGCACCCTTCCACCACGCGAAACGGGCCTCCGCCGCCGCGACACTGTTGCGGCGACGGCGGAAACCAGTCTAGTACAGGGCGGGACGGGGCCCCTGGGGGGCCCCCACAACGGAGCTCCACGACGCCGTCACTGCATGAGCCCCATACTGCGGTGACCCCAGCCTCTGGGGGGGCAGCACCGCGCCACGTGCAAGGGGCTGCGCAGACTGGCATCAGCACCTACCTCCTGATGCTACTGATGCCACCACAGCTGGCCGCGCCGGCGCACGACGTGGCTGGGCGCGGCGGCGCCAGCAGCCGCTGGTCCAGCGGTTGCCCGGCGCGCACGCCTGCGGAGCGTCTGGGGCGGGCCTTGGCGAGACCCCTCACTCCTGGCCGGGCTGCCCCCAAGGGTCACCCGATGATGCGCGCCCAGATGGCGATCTGCGCGTCTGCCGACGCCGGGCGCGAACGACCGCGGCCTGGCCGGCGGCCCGGCCAGCTCGCTTGGCCAAGCGCGCACGTCTTTTCCCCCGAGGCGGGGGGGCCACCCCGCATGGGACACGGGCAACTGGGCCTCGCCTGGCGCGCGCTTCCTCCGCTGGGGCCAACCCCGAAGGGGATCTGAGCACGCCCATCTTTACCACCCGCCTGGCACGCCCAGCACCGTTGCCGACCCGTTGGCGGCGGCCTCAATTGCCACGCGGCCGGAGCGCGACGACACGAGTGGCCTCGTCGCCGCGCCTGAAGCCACGCTCCGCGCACGGGCGCCTGGACACCCGCGTCGAGGAAAGATTCCTCAGGCGCCGCTCCCCCTGCCCTGTTGCTATCTCGGCCCCTCGTCCTTCGAGGCCCTCCTCTGCCGGCCATTCGCTTCTCCTGGCCGGCTGCGGCGCCCCCCCCTGGATGTAGCAAGCTCCCCCGAAGACCGCCAGCAGCACCAGGGCTGGCGCTTCCAGCTCCAGCGGACCTCCCGGGGTCAGAGAGACCACCGCCTCTGGCATCTCTCTGATCACGTCGCGCGGGCGAGCCCCCGCTGGCCCGCCCGCCCCCTGTCAGGGGCGCCTCGCTTGCCAGGCTGCGCAAACACCGTTGCACGGCCAGCGCCAGGCCCTCGGCGTCGTCGCCGCTGTAGTGGGCGCTCTGGTCCTCGGAGAGCACGGCAACGTTCCTTCGAGGGCGACGCGCTCGCGAGCGCCAGAGCACGGGCGGCCCAATGCCAACGCCCATGAGGGGAGACCCTAGCTGACCACACACGTCATCCACTTGCGGAACCTCTTGCCCAGCTGGTCGGGCGGCCCCAAGCCCCACTTGCACGCGGCGATGGCGATGGTCTCGGCGCCGGCGTCGGCCTCGAGCCGTTGGAGCCATCGACGCCCCCAGACGTCGGGGCACCGACCGTCGATCCGTGCTCTCGATCAGCCACTCCCCGCCGTTCTCGCGGAGCCTCTGAGCGAGGTCCGCCGCGGAGTCGGTGAAGATGTTGCCCTCTGCCTTCGCGCGTGATGCCCCATCCCCATCGGGCGCCTCGACCGCGCGCGCCCCCCCGTTCTCCGGCGGAATGGGCGAGGCAGAGGGGCG